CCCCAACTAGCCATCAATACCTTGACCTTCATTACTCCCTCCATTCCACCTCTAACCTACCCCACCCACTGCCCAGACCCCAACCCACTCCCACCTGGATGACGTCACAGTCACCCAGTGTGAACACCAGTTCTGGCTCCTCCTGCACCCGTGTGCCGTTCTCCAGTGACGTCTGCAGTTGCACTGTGACCACCTGGCCCTTGGTTGGGCGACTTGAGCCAGGTGGGCCTGGGACCAGCGTCTTCTTCCTCAACAGCCCATTCCCTGTCAGGGACCAAGGACAAGCAGCCTGTCACTGGGTGGCTCAGATGGGCACCTGCTCTCCACGCCCCTTCCTCCCCAACCTCCACTAACTCCACCCATCCCCAGAGTGGCCCAACACCAGGACAGAAGCTGAGCTTCGAAAGACTGCCCTGTCACTTCCGAGGCAGGTGACCCCACACCTCTGGGTTCAGTGTCCCAGTGGTTTAGAATATTCTGGAATATTCTATAATGTTCCAAATTTGTGTGCTGCTCCCCAACTTGTACATGCCCCAGTATCCAGCCTAAGAACCACTGATCTAGTGGATCCTGGGGAAGCCTGTGTCTCGAGGTTTTGGGGTATTCATGGTGGATGTGCTGACAGGGTCACAATCAAGCACTGCCTCTCATCGAGGGAACTTTGGGCAAATCACAGCCCCTCTCAAGGCCTCGGTTTCCTTGTCTAAAAGCCTGAATTCTGACCTCAGAACGCAGCTGATTGTGAAGAGGAGCAAGGCAGCTCCTACCCTCAGTAGAGAGAAGCTGCCCAGACTCTAACATAGCCAAGAAAGCCGTGTAACCTTGGGCAAGCGCCCTCACCTCTCTGGCCCTGTTTCCCCGTCTGTAAAACATGGGTATGGTAGGAATTAAATGACAGGGCTGTTGTGAGGATAAAGTAATGTTGCACAGGCCTGGCACAGAACCAGTGGACAGTCAATATTACCTGGTGTTGTTTTTAGCAGTAGTAACATTTTTATCATCAGTGGAGGTGACATTAGTAACAATGCTGTTTAATCAATATTAGTATTATTTTATACTATTGCTTTGGTGTCAGTATAAATGGTAGTAGTAATGATGACGTTTTACTCCTATTTGTGTGGCGCTAACATTATTTAACGTGTGAAATCTCAGTACTAGTAGCAATACATTTCTCTAGCTTCCAGAGAAATGTCGCTGTGATGGGGTCCATGGTGGGGACATTTGTGTGGATTCCCCAAGTCCTCTCTTGAAAGACTTCTCTGAGCAACTATAATGCTGATGAATACCGTGAACAAGACAAAGAAATGAACAACAAATTGGGATGGTCCCCAGATCTCTGTGATCTCAGGACACATTTTCCATGGGACAGGTAGGAACTTATGAGACAGATGCCAAGAAAAGAAGCTGTGGAGGTTGGGAGCTGCTGGCGCCTGGTGTGCTGTGCTGGCTGTGTGACCCTGGACGGGTGACTCAGCCTCTCTGAGCTGGTGTGTGTGTGAAAGAGAGAGAGAATAAAAGGGCTTCATAGACATGAAACATCTCACACAGCTGCCTGTGTCTGGCAATCACCGTGGTTACCGCGCTTTACTTCCAACCTACTTCATGGCAGAGGTGGGGAAATGAAGCTCAGGGTAGAAGGTTTGGGCCAAGATCACTCCTGAACTGCAGCTGTCTGGGCCCTGTGGGTCAACCCCAGCCACCCCTGCACCTTACCCAGGATGTCCAGCCACTCGTCCGGGGCTGGAGCAGGCTCGGGCTCAGGCTCCCATGGCAGCCAGGAACTCTCGGGCCAGGGTCCCTCTGTTTTCAGTCTCCTCCAGCGGGGGCTGTCCCATGTCTTCTAGTGGTCGCAGCTCACTCAGGTTCTCCTCTTCTTCCTCCCTCGCCCTCTGTATCTTCCACCCCGTCTAGCACTTCGAAGTCCTCAAGCGGAGGGACCCCAGCAGGCGGTGGGGCAGCAGGCTCAGGGCCCATGGTGGAGGGCTCAGCACAGGATGCCATGCTGCTGGGGGGATGGGAACTGGCCCTGGTGGGGGGAATGGATGGGAATAAGCATCCCACCCAGCCACTCAAATCCTCCTGTACATCCATTCTCCACACTGTGAGTCACTTGCTATGTGACTCAGGGGCTCCAGGCCTCAGTTTCCTCATCTGCACAGTGGGTAGAGCAACAGCCCTGGCTTGTCCAGAGGAGTTAAGGACCCAAGCATCAAGCCTGGGCATCAGGCTCAAACACAGTCAACTATTATTAGAGCTAAATAATATTTAATATTTATAAACACCCCGGGACGTAGGAAACATACCCCCACATTTTGCAGAAAAGGAAACTGAGGCCCAAAGGAGCAAAGCTATTTGCCCAAGGTCACAGAGCAAGCCAAGTGCAGGGGTAGGATTTGAACCTGGGGCTTTATCTGATTAAATGCCCAGAGAAGATGCTGGGTGGTTTTCAGGTGAGCAATGCCTGAGGTCTTGGGGAGACTATTTTTAGAGCCCAAGAGAAGGAGAATTGAATCTTTACCAGGGCTCCCCATCTTCAGCTGCCCCTTCTCCTAGGGGGAGCTCCTGCTAACTTCCCACCACCCAGAAACCCAAGCCTTTTCCTTCCATACTCTGAACCTTGGCCCAAACTCTTCCTGGGAGCCGTTTCTCTTCTCCTCAGGCCTCATGACTACCCTCTCAAAGTGGCCTTTATTAAAAAGGAGTGATGATCCTCACCGCATTCTACACCCTCTTCCTTGGGCCATCAAGGACTGTCTCCCTCCCCCAGGCCCTAAGCTCGGAGGTGGTACAGCCTGGTCATTCTAATCCACAGCATCCTCTATCCCTCCCCGACCCTCACCTGCCTGCTCCTTCCGGGCTTGGGCCCCTTTTCCGAGACCCTCCCAGCACCTACCCCCACATCCCCTATACCCGCACAAATCGCCCTCCCCCATCCAACCACCGCTCCCAGTCTGGGCCAGCTAACCCCACAGCCATCCTATCGCCCCGCAAACATGCCTATGTTCCCAGACGCCCCCCCCCCCTCCAGATCCCCTAACACCCTACGCCTTCCAAACACCCCCCGCCCTGGCCTGGCCCACCGGCAGCCCCTCACCCAGGCCCCCAACGCCCCAGGCTTGTTTGACGCCACCAGGCTGAGTCCTCGACACCCACCCCCCCGCGAACCCCTCAAGCGCCCCTGGCTCTGCACGTCTCTGCCAGCAAAGCCCCCCCTAACACTCCTCGGATCTCCAAGGCCCCGACCCCCGCTGCCCCCGCCTGGCCGCGCCCCCTCGGTCACTCCGACCCCC